CTTTGTGGGAGAAAGACGAGGTTTCCTACCCCCATGTAGGGTCACCATCTCGGAACCTCACAGGGGCGGTTCTACCCTGCCCTAGAGGGTCGCTGAGAGTCAGATTCGGATAGATGGTGGCAGTGGGTTTTGGTTTGTTTGGTTGGTTTTGGCGTGGCAGAAAACAGCGAGTGCCGGATAGCGTCTGTTTTTCTCCCATCTGCCTTTTCTGTCCAACGTGACAGGCACTTGAGGGGCTGTGTCTCATTTCCCCGCATCCCCCAAGAGTGCTCAGGGGAGACCCCTGGGGTCACGGGAGGCATTAGGGCTACATGCATGACAGCGGGGTGTGAGTGGGCTTATCCTGTCCTCGTGGGGCTGGGGATGGTACCAGTGCCCTTTCTCTTCCCTTGCAGACGGCATCTATGAGATCGGCGGTGTCTTCCCCGTCTGGGCCCTGGTGGTCATTGCGGGCACAGCCTTGGCTGCAGTGACCTTCTCGGTCACATCCAACAGCGAGATCCCCAGGTTTCACTGGGTAGGCCTGACTCCCTCCGAGGGCCGGGAGCGGGAGCCGTGCATCCTGCCTGCACCCCTGGGTGGGTGGGTTGGGTCAGCCCTAATTCCCTGTCCCTGCTGCCAACCCTTAGGGTGTAAACACTTTAGTGTCAGGGAGAACTTTCATTCCCTCTTCCGAGACCTTGTTCATGTTTAAAAACTCCTCCCGGAGCATTGTTTCACATGCTATTGGATTTGGGGTGTGTGTGGGGGGTGTAACTGTTTCTAATTGAGATACAAAGTTATATAGCATACACTTGACCCGTCTGAAGTCTAGCCTTCGGTGGGTTTTTGAAAGAGAGGTCTGTGTTCCTGGAGCTGTGTCACCGTCGCCACCATCTGTTTGAGGAACTTTTCCTCACCCCAGAAAGATACCACGTGCCCCTGACCTTGGACTTCAACTCACCGACCTTGGGCATGCTGTCTGGAGGGCGTCATGCCGGGGGAGGGAGAGGGGCAGCAAAGAAGCGGGCAAGGTGGAGTGACAGGATACAGTGGTTGCAATGCCGGGCTCAAACACAGCCACTGTGAGGAGGAGAAGGGGGCAGGACTGGCTCGGGTACACGGGTCACTATGGGTCAGAACCGGCTGCACCGGCATCCACCACACCCTTTACCTATCCTGGGGCTGCCCTTCCCAGTTCTTCCAGCGCAAGGCGACCATGCTCTGTCTCTCTGGGTTTGCCTCCTTGGGTTAAGTCCTGCGGGTGGACTCATAGATGGGGTTCTCCCCCAGAACACAGCCTTTGCAAGGCTCAGCTGTGGCGCAGCCCGAGTCTAGAGCCCCCTTTCTCTCTGTGGCCCGCCTGGGTGACCCCTTGGGTGTCCGTTCATCTGTGAGCGGATGTTGGGGTTGCTTCTAGTTTGGGGCCATCGTGCATAATGCAGCCAGGCACATTCCTCCCCGAGCTTCTGTCTGGACCTCTGTTGTTGGGTAGGGGGTAGCGGCCAGGGGGCTGGCTCTAGTTTCACCGGCGCCCCCTCTGTCCCCTCCGCAGCTCTTTGCCTTCCTGGGCTTCCTGACCAGCGCCTTGTGGATCAACGCAGCCGCCACGGAGGTGGTGAACCTCCTGCGGTCGCTGGGTGTTGTCTTCCGCCTGAGCAACACGGTCCTCGGGCTCACGCTGCTGGCCTGGGGGAACAGCATTGGGGGTGAGCGAGCCTCTGGGTACCCGACTCGGGATGGGGCTGGGTTGCAGGCTGAATTCAACCGTGTCCATGGCACCTGCGCAGGGCCGCCCAGGGTATGCACTGGGGACCCACTGTCACTTGAGCAGTGAGGTGAGGTGGTCGGGGCTACACTGGGCCAGGAGGCTCTTGAGTGGCCCCAGGCACTTTCCACTCTCTGCTAAGTGGCCACCTGGCAATTCCTTAGAGTTCACACAGGGCGAGGGCCCATGGTGGACAGCTGAGCTGAGCAGGGACATGGCGCGCAGGTGTTCACACTCATACCCATACCCTTCCTTAGCCAGGGCTGCCAGGCAAGGTTGGTCAGGTGGTACACCATATGCAAACATCAGGGGATAACACCCAGCCCACCTCCCCCTTCCTGAAGTGGCCTCTGTGGGGGAGCAGGGGAAGGAGTGGGTTAGATGGAGGGCCCCCTCTAGCTGTCACCTGCTAGTGCCTGGCTCAAAAGTCCACTCCCTTTTGATTTGCGTGGCCATGGGCGGGAGGGCACCCACACCCAAGGACACCCTGCCTCCTTCACAGATGCCTTCTCGGACCTCACCCTGGCCCGCCAGGGCTACCCACGGATGGCATTCTCGGCCTGTTTCGGCGGCATCATTTTTAGTATCCTTTGAGGGGCTGGCAGTGTGGGCTGTGGGAGCTGTGGGCAGGACCCCTGCCCTACCCTTAGGCTTGGTTCTCTCGGTTGGGAGGACTAGCTTAAGGAGGCAGGGGAGGATGTGCCTGTGTCTGGGCACACTCAGCAGGCAGTGCTGGCAGACGCCCTGGTGGTGAGCGTGTGTGTGCCCGAGGATTGCAGGGACATGCCGAGGTCTCTGAGAAGCTGGCCGACTTTTGCAGAAAGGACCAGAGAATAGCCTCCCTGGGTTTGGAGAGCCAGACAGTCGACCGTGGGACCCAGCCGGTTAGAGCAGCCCAAGATAAAGGAGCCGTGAAAGGGCATGCGTGGCTGTGGTCCAATGAAACTTTATTTGTAGGGTCACATTTGGCTTGCAGGCTAGAGTGCCAAGCCGTGGCCTGGGCAGAAAGTGTGGGTGCAGGCAGCCTGGCCTTGTGTGATGGGGGAAGTGTGGGGTGGGGGGGCCTGCCTTCCTGTCTTTAAACTTCTGAAATCTCTGTACGTTAAAGGAGGCTGGGGTGACGACTGAGCGGGCACAGCCCCTCGGGCCACCGTGTCCAGCAGCAGGCGGCCTCGTCCAACCAGCGGGAGAGACTGGTTATTGATGGGAAGTGCAGGCAGTCTGTGGGATCCGAGAGGACCACAAACCAACCCTGGAAACCACAGGTTCCCAAACTGATTTGGCCTACGGCCCACTTTAAAAAGAGACTCGGCGCTCCACTCCCGCTCCCCCTGCAATGAAAAACGTTTGTACCACCACCAGTCATCTAGGATAAAGTATAGGTATCTGCCTTGGCAGCACCCCCCCCCACACACACACACACCCCACTCCAATCATTCCAGCACCTCCCGGGAGGGGGCAGCATCACCCTCTTTGGGAAATACAGCCCGTCTGTATTACACAGACAATGGTTCCCAACTTTTTGAAGCCCCCTCCTAGTTCTGTGTTAAAGATGCTCCCATACAGGAAGCATTGAAGGCGTTTTTGTGCAGAGCCGTAAACCGAGCTCCACGTTTGGCTGATTGGCGTTAGATGCAGACCGAGTTTAATGGGTCCACCTGACGATGCAGATTCGACTTCTGCACAGCCAAGGGCTGGGGCTCGCTGGCAACCCAGGGACTGCCTGGCTGTTCATTCAAAGGCACTCCAGGTACAGCCCTCCCCGTGTTCCACAACGGAAGGGTCTGCTCAGGCACTGTCCCCCGGGCGATTCTGACTCTGCGACCCCTGGGACAGGGTAGACGTTCCCCCTGTGGGTTTCTGCGCAGAGCCACAACTCCTTAGGAGACTGGGAAGCCTTGTTTGTCTCCCATGGCCCGAACGGCTGGTGATTTCAAACCACTGACCTCGCAGTTAGCAGCTCAAGGTGCAACCACTACCGTCACCAGGAGAGGGCGCTGCAGGGGAGGCAAAACCACATTAGCCAGGAGCTTTTGTGGTGTGGTGACCGGTATTAACTGCAAGGTTGGTAGTTCGAATCTCACAGCTGCTCCTCAGGAGACAGATGAGACTGTGCTTCCATCAAGTCTCGGAAATCCAGAGGTGTCCCCACTCCAGAGGAACTCCAACAGCTGAGTGACACACCCAGCCCCAGGCTGTACCCCGTCAGAGGGAGCAGCTGGAGGCTCCTGGGAGCAGTGTGTGCAGAGACAGTTTCCTGAATCAAACCACAGATATCCTGGTGGGCGTGGGACTGGGCTGCCTGCTTCAGATCTCCAGGGGCCACCCGGAGGTGAAGGTGAGTGGCCAGAAACTTCTAGAAGGGGCCTCCTCACAAAGCTCTCTCCTCCTCTCTTCTGACCCGTGGGTCCAGGAGCTCCTGCAGGTCGCAGTGCATGACCCGGGCAATGTCCTCCACTTCCTACACACACACAGCTTGACCACATGTGCCTACGTACCGGGGAGGAAGGCCCAAGTCCCCTCTCCTAAGTGCTTTGTGTAAGCTGAGGAGTTAGCACACCTCTGCGCCTCAGTTTCCTCATATGGAATATGAGGCTAATGATACCCACCAAGTGTCCATGAAGCACGGGACAGGCTGACTATCGTATGGGGGTAACTGTGGCGAGAGAGAAGACACGCCGCACCCCCCCTCCAGTTGAAGCCAGCCTAGAACGGGAGGGTGGAGCCCAAGTTTGGAGAAGGTTCTGGAACACACTGAGCAGCAGAGCTTCTTATACTTCAGGGGTGCCTAACCGTTTCTTGGGACGCATGAGACCCACTGAACCCCACCCAAGGGGTGGGGACTTGGAATCTGCGTTTTGAAGAAGCTACTATGGGGAGCACAGGGCCTCCTTCAGAAATAGTGTTCTCTTGGGGGTTCAAGTGGAGACACCTTTGGGGCAGGCAGGGGGTGAAAGGGAGTGGAGGATTCAGGTGGGCTCTTGTGGCTGGAGAGTCCGATTCCCCTAGGGAAGGAGAGACCCAGATACATTGGGGAGCTTGTTCTAAAACATGTTGCTCAGGTCAGACCAAACCCCACATAAGACAGATCAGTGTACAGGCCCAACCAGGCTCGGTAGGGGGGTAAGGCAGGTGGGGCCTGAGGCTGGTTTATACCTCAGCTTGGAGCCCCGAGCCTGAGGGCATGGGGAATGCCAGGAGGGGGACAGTCCGCTTTAATGAAAGCTCACAGCCAGGACACCCTGTCCACCACACTTAGGTCACGCTTGCAATGTTGTAACCAGCGCTATATACATACATACATATATATATATATAGTAGTTTCAAAAAGTTCATGGACAAATAGAATGAAGATAATGGTATTTTCCCATAAGCTTTCAGAAGTTCCTACCTGTATATGTGTGTATCCCATGTCATCAGAAAACAGAGATGTCCCAACAGTAGGAAAGTTCACCCAAAACCCGTGAAAGAGTCATTACATAGAGAACATTTAGCTTCCCACCATTCAGCACCTACTTGTCCATCTACCTACCCATCCCACCATCTGTTCACCCATTCACCCATCTACCCAGCCACTCAACCATCTACCCACCCATTCATCCGTCTACCCACCCATTCAACCATCTGCCATCCATCCATTCATCCATATGCCCACCTATTCAACCACCTACCCACCATTCATCCATTTACCCACCCATTCAACCATCTACCAACTCATTTATCCTCTTGGTTTGGGCTGCATTTCCCAGTAAGTAATGGGCATTGCTCTCACACACCGATACCTAAAGTTCAGTATCAAGTGCGTATGAAACCGTAACTTCGGCAGACTGAGGTGGGTGGGGGGTGGGGAGGGGGTGGAGAAGCACGCGGCATGTGGCACTCCTGAAGTGGGAAGAGGAGTTCCTTTCCCAGTTGCTTCGTGTTTCTGAGATGAGAACTGGGTAATTCAAGCTGGGTCAGCCGTGCCCCAGGGCCGGCCCTGAGCTTGGCCAGTCCTAGGGTGGTCCTTTGGGTGCAGCTGGAGGGGGTGGACTGTGGTGAGCAGCGCCCCAGCCCCTCTGCCCTCCCGCCCTCCCCAGGTGGAGTCCGACGGACTGCTGGTGTGGGTCCTGGCCGGCGCGCTGGGGCTCAGCCTCGTCTTCTCCCTCATCTCGGTCCCCGTGCAGTGCTTCCAGCTGGGCAAAGCCTACGGCAGCTGCCTGCTCCTCTTCTACCTGGGCTTCCTCGTCGTGGCCCTCCTCACCGAATTTGGCGTCATTCACCTGAAAAGCGTGTGACTGAGCCCACGCCGGGGTCCGTCACTGCAGCTGGGCGCCCAGCAGCCTCCTGTGAGGGGAGGACTGTGTGGAAGCCCCTTCCGTGAGATCCAATGGGCGTGCAATGGAGTGGACGGGACTAGGGCTCCTGCAGGTGGCGGTCACTGCTGAGGGTCTGAAGGCACCGACCACTGTGCTTGGAGGAGAGGAGAGCCAGGACCCCATTCCTGCCAGCACCCCCAGTGCCCTTTCTGACTCAGACACCACTGCCCTGGGGTCTAGTGCCTGGGCTTCACTGTGGGCAGAGCTACAAGGGGAGCCAGATGCCTTTCCGGAATGACTTCCAGGGCCCCTGAGGACGGGTAGGGTGTGGGGTAAGTGGGATGAGAGGGCAACATACAGGCTGCTTTAGAAAGACCCTTGTCATGTGCGGGGCTGGAGGCCACTGCTGTGGCCCTGGGCCCTCCTGCAGGTGTTCCTGTGTCCCCACTGGGCTCTGGGCCTGCAAGTGTCTTCTCAGGGCTTAGCTGGCCACCGTGCCCCAGTGCAGTGATTCAGGGTGACAGCTCCGCTCCTCACTAGAGTGGGCCGAGCCAGGGGACACCTGGC